ACTTCATGTCGTTAGCTGCCTTGTTGCCGCTGTAGTCTGAGAGCGGCTCGGGAGCGCGCACAAGGCTGAATCCGACCCGACAGACCTCACATTAAAAGCAGAATATTGTCTGATGCAAGCAACGAAGAAAACAGGTGTGTGTTTCATTTCTGAGTGAGTTTTGAGCCCACTGACAATAAGGCAATTTCATTTATTAAAATCAAAAACTTACATATAGCCCCTTTTAACTCAATCCTTGGGTCAGGCGTGAAAGTTGGTTATTCAACACAGGACTATTTCTGAACCATATAATTTATAAAGAAAGTATATAAGGTGCTTGGAACAACATTAGTTACAATAAAAATTAAATGCCGGAAATCCAGTGACCATTGCTGAAGATTAAAGACGACTGCAAAATTAACTTATTTATGGATTCTGCTTTTCAACAGTTTCTAACTAGAACATGGTAATAGACTACTCAAACTGAAGTGTCAGGCCAATAAATAAGATTTAATTCAAACAAGGTAATAAGGCAAGTTTATAAGTTTACATTCTTGTTCACACAAAGGAATTTGGGACTGTCCTTCCTGGCATCTGGCTTTTCTCATGTTCAGGTTGAGGTTAGTCTCTCGACAAGGTTAATATTGTCATTTTAACAGTCATGCATGAGTCTGTTATCTCAACTTCACCGGAGGTGGTAGATTTATGGTCAAAACTGCCCAAACAGCACTTGGGTGGTGCAAAACTTTCACCCCCTCCTTTGGGGTACTTCAGCTGTCTGTTGTGGGTTGATATCTCAACCCCCCTCAAAAGTGCACAAAAACTACTCAATAAAAGTAATGTGACTTTTGTAAATTGTAATTTGTTACTTTCCACCTATTTAGTATTCAGTGTGTGAGTGTGGATGACAGTCCTAATCACTGTGGGTACAGTACATTAGTAGGTGATTTCAAAGATGTGCTCTGTCATTTATGGTGTTAGATGCCACCATGACATCTCACTTACTGTGTTTCTCTTTGTTGATATAGAGAAGGAGAGAAGAACTGGACTCAAACGTCACCGCTGTGAGCTCTGTGACAAATCCTTCACATCTGAATCTTTGAAGATTCATCAGAGACTTCACACTGGAGAGAAACTGTACAGCTGTGACCAGTGTGGGAAAACTTTCACTACATCTGGTGCCCTAAAAAAACACCAACGTGTTCACACTGGAGAGAAACCGCACTGGTGTGAAGAGTGTGGAAAAACTTTTGCTACATCAGGTAACCTAAAAATCCATGAACGTGTTCACACTGGAGAGAAACCGTACAGGTGTGAACAGTGTGGGAAAACTTTCACTACATCAGGTCATCTAAAAAAGCACCAACGTGTTCACACTGGAGAGAAACCTCACAGGTGTGAACAGTGTGGAAAAACTTTTACTCAATCAGGTAACTTAAAAATCCACGAACGTGTTCACACTGGAGAGAAGCCTCACAGGTGTGAACAGTGTGGAAAAACATTCGCTCAATCAGATCACCTAAAAAAGCACCAACGTGTTCACACTGGAGAGAAACCTCACAGGTGTGATCAGTGTGGAAAAACTTTCACTCGATCAGGTAACCTAAAAAGGCACCAACGTGTTCACACTGGAAAGAAACCTTACTGGTGTGAACAGTGTGGAAAAACTTTCACTACATCAGGTCATCTAAAAAAGCACCAACGTGTTCACACTGGAGAGAAACCTTACAGGTGTGAACAGTGTAGAAAAACTTTTGCTCAATCAGGTAACCTAAAAAAGCACCTACGTGTTCACACGGGAGAGAAACCTTACAGGTGTGAACAGTGTGGAAAAACTTTCACTACATCAACTGAAGCAACAATCCACCGACGTGTTCACACTGGAGAGAAACCGTACTGGTGTGAACAGTGTGGAAAAACTTTTGCTCAATCAGCTCACCTAAAAAAGCATCAACGTGTTCATATTGGAGAGAAACCTCACGTGTGAATAGTGTGAAAAAATCTTCACTACATCAGGTCACCTAAAAATCCTTTAACATGTTCAGACTAGAGTGAAATCATGCAGCTGTGGCAAATCATGTACCAACAGGAGAACCCTTAGACACAAATTCATTCACAATGCATCATTTTGACATTTTCACAGAGCTGAGCTAGCGGTTTCCTCCTGCCGTGAATAAAACCTCCTGTTATCTAGGGCTGCAACTAATGTAACTAACTAATTATTTATTCGATTAGTCGACTAGTCACGAGTATTTTTGTCACCCCCTAAACCTAACCCTAATTAAACCATTTAACTAATTAAATATCTTTCAAATGAATTACTGATCTCCAACACACAGCCTAACTAGCTAGCGTTACCCTTTTAGTGAATGAGGTTTACTATTCAGAATGAACACCAGTATCAATGCCAGGGGGAAACCAGGGAAGAAGACAAGACAGCGTAGGCTACTCCTATAATTCACTGATTTGTACAAACTTTTAACTGTTTAACAAAGATTTTTGCTTTGGAACTATAATAAATTAAATCAACTAATATAACCACAACTGTACACTAAGAATGTAATGTCTATTTAGAACAATAAAGCAACAGTCCCCTTTTAAACTAGTTTATTTTTCAAAAGTGCTTATAGGTTTTAGGCAATAACTCGGTGGAGAATGTTCTGTAGGCTACATCACGAACCAGATGTTCCTCGATGTACTTTAAACCATTACTCATTTCCACTAACTTTTTTTTAAAGCTGGGTCTCCGACATTGCCAGTGTTGTGTTGGACAGATATGTGCTGCGGTGTTAATGAGAGAGAGAGAGAGATGAGCGAGAGGATGTGCTGCGCAATGCGCTACGGCGCTCATCTGCAATCAAATAAGATTTTAAATAAGACTCGGGAAAAAAAAAAAAGTGGCGGTCAGTGTTGATATTGTTGCGGGCCGGTAATAATAAATGAACATCCTCTGTCGCTGCTGCTCTGTTGTTGCTGCTGCAGTGGTCTGAACTGAGTAACTGGGACCAGGGTGTTCTGTGGGCGTGACTGGCTGGCCGGCTGGCACCGCTAACCCTGCGCTTGTGGAGCTTCTCAACTCTGAAAACGTTTGAGCACATTTCCATTTCGCCATCAACTTTGGTAAAACTGCCAATATTCAAATTGTACACAGTTGATTTCTCGCCACAAAAGTGTATTTAATGATTAAATAACATACAAAACTTACAAAAGTGTACAAAACAAAAGCCGTTCTGCTGTTCGCCTCTTTCTCCGAAGTACTGCTCCCAGCACTTCCTATAGTGCATTCCAGTTAGAAATGAACAACCAGAAATGTTCCTAGTATGAAGATTCCCATCTGTCCCCTAACGGCATCTACAGGTGCTGGTCATATAATTAGAATATAATATCATATAATATCAAAATTGATTTATTTCAGTAATTCCATTCAGAAAGTGAAACTTGTATAATGTATACATTCATTCCACACAGACTGATATATTTCAAGTGTTCATTCCTTTTAATTTTGATGATTATAACTGACAACTAATGAAAACCCCAAAATCAGTATCTCAGAAAATTAGAATATTGTGAAAAGGTTCAGTATTGAAGACACCTGGTGCCACACTATAATCAGCTAATTACCTCAAAACACCTGCACATTAATTGAGAGGAGAAGGGAAGGAAAAGATGTGGTAGAAAAAAGTGTACAAGCAATAGGGATAACCGCACCCTGGAGAGGATTGTGAAACAAAACCCATTCAAAAATGTGGGGAGATTCACAAAGAGTGGACTGCAGCTGGAGTCAGTTCTTCAAGAACCACCACGCACAGACGTATGCAAGACATGGGTTTCAGCTGTCGCATTCCTTGTGTCAAGCCACTCTTGAACAAGACACAGCGTCAGAAGCGTCTCTCCTGGGCTAAAGACAAGAAGGACTGGACTGCTGCTGAGTGGTCCAAAGTTATGTTCTCTGATGAAAGTAAATTTTGCATTTCCTTTGGAAATCAAGGTCCCAGAGTCTGGAGGAAGAGAGGAGAGGCACAGAATCCACGTTGCTTGAAGTCCAGTGTAAAGTTTCCACAGTCAGTGATGGTTTGGGGTGCCATGTCATCTGCTGGTGTTGGTCCACTGTGTTTTCTGAGGTCAAAGGTCAACGCAGCCGTCTACCAGGAAGTTTTAGAGCACTTCATGCTTCCTGCTGCTGACCAACTTTATGGAGATGCAGATTTCATTTTCCAACAGGACTTGGCAACTGCACACAGTGCCAAAGCTACCAGTGCCTGGTTTAAGGACCGTGGTATCCCTGTTCTTAATTGGCCAGCAAACTGGCCTGACCTTAACCCTATAGAAAATCTATGGGGTATTGTAAAGAGGAAGATGCGATACGCCAGAACCAACAATGCAGAAGAGCTGAAGGCCACTATCAGAGCAACCTGGGCTCTCATAACACCTGAGCAGTGCCACAGACTGATGGACTCCATGCCACGCCGCATTGCTGCAGTAATTCAGGCAAAAGGAGCCCCAACTAAGTATTGAGTGCTGTACATGCTCATACTTTTCAGTTGGCCAACATTTCTAAAAATTATTTTTTTGTATTGCTTAATATTCTAATTTTCAGAGATACTGAATTTGGGGTTTTCATTAGTTGTCAGTTTTAATCATCACAATTAAATGAAACATTTGAAATATATCAGTCTGTGTGGAATGAATGAATATAATATCCAAGTTTCACTTTTTGAATGGAATTACTGAAATAAATAAACTTTTTGATGATATTCTAATTATATGACCAGCACCTGTATGTAACGACAATGAAATTTCACGTCGACAAATTTTTATAGCCTGTGTCGTCTATTACGTTGACTAATCGTTGCAGCCCTACTGTTATCATGTGACTGTGCTGGACTAACGTCATGTGATGACAGCTGAGGAAGTTTGATTTGGAAAAAGCTGGAAAGCGTCAGTCCGGAAGTTTCATCAGCAAATAGCAAAAGTAAACTGCAGTAGCCAGGTTACAACCAGTAGGGGGCAGTCACTGCATTTTCATAGCATTATATGTCAAGTTAGTTCTTAGCATTAACAAATTACCAATGAAGAGCTTTTTGCTTGCACAAGGATTAAATAAATAACAACAACCCACAGTAATGAAACAGCGGTAACTGGATTCAATATTCAACTAGTGTATAACAGTATACTAATATGTGACATAATGAATATATGGTATTGTTGTTACACTAACGGTATTGGCTACTATTAAATGAACATTATACTCTTTAATGTTGTAATATTACACTAATACACTCATGTATACTAGTTCCTCCTCCAGATTGTGGAGGGAGTCTCTGCAGTGGACAGATGTAGATTTAGATGGAGCCAATATTTGCTCCTTCTAGCGGCCTCCTCTGTAGAGCAACATGTTCCTTTGGTTCTGTTTTACATGTTTTTATTAGTTATTGTTATAAATATTGTTTATCGTTTAACTTTGTTCCAGTTGAGAAAAACACACTTCAAAATGTCAGTATTTTGTGCTTTTTCCTTGATAATTAAGCAAGTAGACTCAAAGGACCATTTGTTCCATTATAATCGAACCGCAATATTGTCCACAATAATCAAAATACGACTTTTTCTCCAAATCGTGCAGCTCGAGTCAAGAATGAACTGCTTGCTGAAATATTGTTTCTGTGTGCTTCATACATAAGTTCTTGTTATTGAGCTGTAGTTAAACATATTTACATTAAATCTGTATTTTACATCTATATTCGCTGTTTTTATTTTCTATTACTGAATGTGGTTTTGTTCAGACGACGCAAAGAGACGCAGATTCACTCAAGTTGGCTCCCGCTGAGGTGCAGACATGTCAGCTCAAGTTCTGCCTCCTTCCTGAGACACAACCACTCATGTCAAGCAATTCTCCTGATCATGACAATGAAAACATTGATCATTCAGACCAAACTGCTTAAAATGGATTTTACCCTGTACGAACTTTTAATAAACCTCTATATGTCATTACCTTTTTGTCCTTTGCTCATCTTATGTAATAATTTCCCCTAAGTGTACCAATGTTTTGATATAATGACCTTCTGTGAGATTATTTTAAATTTATTCATTTAGCTGACGCTTTTATCCAAAGCGACTTACAATTGCTATATATGTCAGCGGTCACACACCTCTGACAAGAGGTTAAGGGTCTTGCTCACTCTGGATTTGAACCTGGGTCTCTCACACCAAAGGCATGTGTCTTATCCACTGCTCCAACGCCACCGCCCCTTTTGTGTTTTGCTTTCCTGTGGGTCAAGGCTGAGAAAGGCTTTTCTGTTAGTGTTATGACCGTAAGGGTCTTGTGTTTGATTTGGGGTGCGTTCCTTCTCGCTCTCTGCTCTCTCAGGTAGTGCCCCCCCCCCCCCCATACCTTACCTGCATGAGTCAGCAGCTCTGCCTAAACACCACTCATTGCCTGGATGTTAAAAAGGAGTTTCCCCTTCTACCTGTTGAGACCACACTGCTGAACACCTGTAAGCAGATCACTGCCAACCAGTCAGCCCAGCGGACAGTGAGAGAGGACTTTTAGTTGTACTCTTGTTCAGTTAGTGTTGAACATAGCTCTGTTAGTTAACTTGTGTTGATTACCGCCTTATCTGCTTTGTCGCTTTCTCCTTTTGAGAGTAGTTTTGTGTTGGCCTTCCCTTCGTGTCAACATTGTAATAAATATAATTTTTAGTTTGCACATGACCCTGACTTCCTGTCCTCTCTTGCCCCGGTTTTATTTTAAACATTGTTGCTCCTCCTCCCCCTGGACTTATCATCCAGAGGAAGGTAACAGTTAAACTCAACAATTATTCCCTAGCATTAAATGAGTTATCTGTTTCTCTGGGTCAGTAATCACCCTCTGGTGTATGAGCTCTGCCCTTGAGCTGAATTACTGTTATTCTTACTTTTATTGAATATGACAAAGACACCTGTTGTAACTTCTTTATTCCTTCAGAAGGAAATCCATGCTGTCTGATCAGTGTCTTGATATGCCAAAGCTGTGAAGTGGATGGATTTTCTGGGCAAAGAAGTGCTTACTAACAGATTTTGACCGAGATTTGTGAATACTTTGGATGATGGCTATGATGATGTCATCACCGCTGTCACCACAGAGCGTCACTTCTGAGCTGATCAAAGAGAGAAAAGTTGTTTTCAAAGGAGCATGATGAAAGTGAAACGTCCTATTTTGATCCTGCAGTCACAAACCTTTAACTTCTACTTCAGATTCTGATGTCGTCTGTGCAGCAGCACCAAAACAAGCGGTGGAAGCTGATTTACAAAGGTGGAAAACCTCTTTATCGTCTTCTCACTCTCACATTACTTATTAAATATCATGTTGTGCTTCCTGCAATTGTTTGGCTTGTATCTGCAGTTAATAATTAGATCTGTTCTGGCTCTATTATTACTGAGGGATTCTCTGTTGTTTGACCCTTATGGCCCAGAAAAGGTAAGAATTACCAAAAT